GATTTTGCCCTGGGGGTCCTGGTAAACAATAGACACATGTTGTTTGCCTCTTTCTATCAATACCACATCTAAGAGAACATGTTGAATGAGTGATGTCCCTGTGTTGTTAAGTGAAGGCATTGTTAATGATACCAAATGATGGTTCAATTGATTGGATAGAGGTGTTATTGTAGATGTTGAAGATTTGGATATGGTGTTGTTGGACATTATTAAAGAATGATTTATATTTTTGATTATGTCTATTGAACGCGTTGTTTGTTAAAAGTTTATGTTGATAAGATCACGGTTGTTTACGTGATTAATGCGTATGTGAACTTCGTGAAGACGTGATTGCTTGTTGACTTGATTATGGGATCACGTGTAACACGTGTTTGATACAGGATGTAAATTACAACCTATACGTGTCAAATTAAGTCGCGTGCGACGCGTATCGTACTTGTTATTATTTATGTTGTTGTTGTTGTGGTTATATTGTTGTGGTCTTAGTGTTGACGTGTTCGCGCAACTTAGATTTTTGTAGGGGTAAGCTGTTTATGGTTTTTAATCTATTGGTTTGTACGTTAAGAAATTTTTTACTCTGTCCAGTTGATGGAGAGCTTTGAACCCTTCCAGCTCTCAAATTGGTGATGAGGTTGTCTGATTTATTGGATGAAATCTGACCTCTTGAGAGTTCTTGCAGTGCCTAGAAAGGTATTTAACCTGATACTGGCCTGGCTGTGAGGTTGGCAGTGGGTTTGGCTCCTTGAGATCTAACTGTGAATCAGGAAGTTTGCTTCCTTATCCCCCTGGACAAGAAGAATTATCTGTTGTCTGTTTCTTCTCCTGTAAATAATAAAGATATTGTATGTTAGCTTTACAAGTGTGTATACCTTTGATTATATTGAGAACTTCTTTGGTTTTTGGATATGTTTTAATAATTATGTAAAGAGACTTTTTGGTTTTTGAAAAAGTACTTCCTAAAAAGGAAATTTAGGATGGACGGGAAAGAGTTTCTTGTTATCAGTTATTATCTATTATATTATTTACTTATATATATTACATTTAATTTAATAAATATAATTATATCAATATTGTTATATTCAAATAAAAATTTAAAATTTGTATGAAAATTTAAATAAATTGTTTTTTTTTTTTATAGTAAAATGGCATTAGATACAGGGTTTTATTGAATTATTATCAATTTTGAAAAATTTAAACAAATTGTATATTCGAAATTAATATTATTATTATAAGTTAATCTTACAGCTACCTATCATATTATTGTGGACACTTTTTTTTATTTAATAACTTAAAATTGAATAAGTAAATATGATATAATTTTTTAGCCTATATTTATTGAAACTTGATATATAATATATTAAAATTTGTACAATTCCATTCAGTCATGCAGAAGTTATGTGAACATGACTCAGCATTACCTTTTTTATATAAGACTGAAAGCAAAAATCCATTTTTTTTTTCGCTTGAAATTTTTGTCGAATGTTGCATGACATGTGAGCGATGTTACGCAAAATTTTAAACAAGGTTTGTGTACCACAGATCGCTGTAAAAAAAATAAACAGGTTTTTTTCCCTTTAAAATGGGTAGCAAAAAGGATTTAATGGAGGGACAAAGAAATTCTGTCATTTATGAGTATCTAAGAGAAGATTCAGTATGCCAGATTGCAACCCTTGTGGGCTGTGGAAAGACTGCCGCCTGGAATATAATAAACAAGTTTCGTAAGTCAGGTGAATTTGCACCAGAAAAAAAAAAAAAACATCCTGGACGTCCAAGTTTTCTCATCCCACCGATCGTAAAATCTAAAAAGGTTGGTTCAAAGAAATCGCCGATTAACTCTCTCCCAGATCATTACCCTCTTCACAACACAAAAAAAAAAAAAGTTTCTGAAAGTACCATTCGTCGTGCTTTACATAAAGAAAACTTGAGATCATGTGTCACTCGTCCCAAGCCATTTGTTTCCCTCACCAATATTGAAAAAAGACTCAATTGGACCCATGCTCATGAAGGTTGGACTGTTCGAAAGTTCAAGTGTATCTTGTGGTCTGATGAAACCACAATTCGTCTTTTTCAGACCTCTAGTTGTCGAATTTGGCGCAAACCGAACAAAAAGTGGGATCTGGAATGTTTGAGTAGTACTACTAATTATAGCCAAGGTCATATGTACTGGAGCTGTTATACTGTCAGCTGATTGTAAGTATGCCGAATCATGTCGCCGCTTGCCTAGAAGCTGCGGGAGGACCTACGAAATATTAAAATAGAATTTTTAGTAAAAAAAATTAAAAAAAAAATTTTTTTAAAAAAAAAAAATCAATTGTGATTTCAGTTTAGTAAAAAAATCCATGTCCATAGTCTTTTCCACATAACTCCTGCAAAATGAAACGAAAATGTATAAAATTTTAGTACATGATACCTTGACAGTTGCTAAACACGTGATAAAAATTTGATAAAAAATTAGTTATTACAATTTTAAATAATTAAGTATAAAAATGTGTCCACAATAATATGATAGGTAGCTGTATTTTATTATTTATACAAATACAATGTATTATAAGATTATATTTATTTATTAAAATAAAATGTGTATTTCTATTTTATTATTTTTTTTTGTAATATATCGTATCTAGTTACAATTTGTATTGCCTATGCAATCTTTTTTTACATTGGATAGATTATAAGAGAATAAGATTTTTTCGTATGATAAATATTATTTTGTATCATTTGTTTGCAAATCAAATTTTTATTGTTATATTAATAATAGATACATATTTATTTATTCATTTATTTAACCAAATTTCGACTAAAATTATCAAATAAAAAAAAATTTAATTTAATTTGGAATATGTTTGTTTTGAAATTCCTTGGCGTTTCCAGTAATTTCCTGTTCAACACATCAAACACAACGCCTTCTCATTTCTTCAAAAGCCTCACTGATTTCCTTCCATTTTCCTTCGATGCAATAACCGCTCCACCTTTCTACAAAGACCAGTACTGCCAACATGAGCTTTTGTTGATTAGCGGTGGTGGACAAGTTGTGTTGTTCGAGGATAACCGAATATTCTAACGTGAATATCGCGAAATATAATTTCAGCATGATCGTAGGGAATAAGGAGAACAGAGATTGTATGTTTTTGCGTTTACGTGATGAAAGAGATGGTGAGGTGTGTATCGATTTGAGGATTTCTTGTAACTTTAAGAATGTTACATCAATTATCTTGGAAAAAATATTGAAAAAAAAAAAAACAAGTTCATTTGATTTCTCGTAATTCAAATACCTTTTCAACACCAGAATCAGCTTTACCAACCACCACTCTCTGAAAATTAACAAGCTTGGCATCTTCCTTGGTGAACCTTCTTTGACACCAAAAAATCGGCTTTTTGGTATCATCTGTATTCTTAAACCTTCTTGTCTTGATTTTCTCACCAAACATTCGCACAATGTTTACAATACTGTTCTCCTTAATAACCTCCTTCAAAAATCGCCTCAGAAACAGACTTTCTGGTAAAATTTTGAAATCGGTAGCAATATCACTCAAATTTTCGAATTCAATATCTTTATAGGTCATGTCATCATTAAAGGCGGTCGTGAAATGATCGCTAGAGACAAACTCGATCCAATCACCTAAAACAAATCTTCCCGTTTTTTCTATCATTTTCGCAATTGTCCAGCATTTCCAAATACCAATAATCAAGTGTAAACTTTCTTTCCATAACATGGGAACAGGATGAAATCGTGATTGATATGTGGATGTCCAACGTTCATAAATCCCAAAGGAATCCTCTATATTGACATCATTTTGAAAATCTTCATTTCGGGATGATTCAATTTCATCTTCTTGGAGCTCCATGGATTTAATCAATAACAATTTGGTATGATATTTAATCCACAATACAATCAATAGACTGACATAATATGAGTACAGCGGATTGGACGATACAAGCGAGGATATAAGATGGTTGGCTTCGCCGTGAGCTACACGATTTCTCAGCCTCGGACCATCCGCATGGATAAATAAATCGAGGATCAGATCCTAGTTCCGCATTAAATAAGTTAAGTTGGGTTAAATGATTTTATTTTCTTAAAAATTTCTATGGTAAACAATTAATGAGTACCATTGTACCACCATCAAGCTCTTCATATATCAAATTTTCTGGCATCTCGTCAATATTCTTATCATCTGCATTAATGCCATAGTAGATCCAATCAACATTCTTTTCCAATAAGATATCCAATGTTAAAAAGTATCCCTCAACTTCTACTGTATTCATTCGATGTTCTTGTACTCCTTTGTTTACGCAAACAAATATTCTTCGCAAGCAATGTTCAAAGAGAGGCAATGTGAGGGTTAAAAATAACAATAATCGGTTTCGAGATAAAAAGTATAGCGAACGTTCCCAGCTGGATTGTGTGCACGGCAATATGAAAAAGTTGCGGAGAAGTAGATTCTTCAGTAGAGAACAATGAGGGAATCGTGGTGGAATAGCTGTCATATGAAAAATTTTTAAAGCCCTCAATAAGAAAAAGGAATAATCCAAATTCCAGAGAGTTAATATCATATTCTTGAAAAAACACCTTGTTCATACATAATGCTTTCGTATATCACATCAAAATCAACATCCGCATCTTTCCCCCCGTCGCTGTCACCACCGTTGAAGTCAGGTGGTGAGTCCAAATGAAAAAATCGACCAAAGTCCGTTCCACATCTTTTATTCAATGAATCCATACCACCGTCTCGCCTCACCTTGTAGCACACGGTCACAATCGTTATTGTGATGAGTGCAGAATACCATTTAGCAGGGACAGGCAAGAACTCTTTGGGACTAATAAAACCGTGCCAAAGGACATTCCTTAGATTAATTGAACTTGGAGGACCGATTAGACATCGAAGGAAAAATACGATGTCTTCTCCTAGCAACCGAACGAGTGGTGGAGAGATCAAAAGATCTCGAATGAGATTGGGAATTGATACATCTTTGTCGATCGCGTGTATCTAAAAAAACAAATAAATTTTTTTTAAAAACTAATTAACGGTGAGAAATGGAAAAGCTTTACCTATAAATTACAAGAAAATGCACGTACGTCTCTTAGTACCTTTTCCAAGGTGGAGGTTCCTAAAAGCAATGCGGTATAAAAATCTTGTTCGATGTATAGATTAAAAATTTCTTCGAGCACCTGTTGACACAAATATTATTGCTATATTGAACGGTAATGAAACGAATAAACGATTTCATTCCATACGTACAACACCCTGTCCGCTCCATAATTTTTCTTCCTTATACAAGTTATCCCGCGTTGAAATTCTTGAATCCAGAAATATTGCAGCATTCCGTGCAAGAATATGAATTTCTGTCGCTGCTTTTGTAAAAGGTTCTGCTTCCGCGGTATCAAATGAATAACATTTTTCTGGAATAACCAATGCATAAAAATTGTGTACTACTTATGTATTGTGTTTTAATCATACAAGAGAAATATATCATTGCATATTTACATCACTCACTATCGAATAAATTACAAATAGCTTTTGGTCTCAGAAAACCATATTCACAGAAGAAATCGTTGGCATTTATGGCATCTCCCTTTATGGTCATATCAATTCCAATCATTTTTTTAGCTCGGACGCTCAAACAACTTACCCATAAATTCCAGGATTCGTTCACTAGTATGTCCGAGTCTTCGTTTCCATTCTCTAATGTTTGAACCGATTTTCCCAACCAGAACGTTCTGATGAGCGGGTTTGATGAATCAATTGACATCTTATTTTCATGAAGTTTCGACACCACCTATCAAATTACGTACTGTACTCACTGCAGACCGAATATGTTACGCAAAGTTTGTTGGACGCTCATGAGTGATTGTTATGTTAATCGTACATATTACAGTACATAATGATAGAATGTGGCGAAGAGGGCTTGGAAGCAGGAATCCCCATATCTCGCCACGCCATTGATTTTCAAATTCAGGACCACAAGGTAACTTTCTTTTCCATAATAAAAAGTTCATTACTACGTAAAAATCCAAAGATATCATAATTTTGCTTAATGCTTTATCCGCGAAATAAAAAACGATCACAAATTTGTTAGTGAAGCGGAAGGACATCAAAAAAAAACAAAACAAAACAAAAACAAAAGGGAAAAAGAGTGAATTTTGTCATAATAAAGAATCGAGTTCTTTCAAATTATGACCAGTGGACATATTGGACACATATATCACGTGGCATTGAGTCCCGATGGTAACAATGTTGTACTCTTTAACACGGGTCGGTTATCTTATTAGAAGAAATGCTTTGTTTCAACAATCTACTTTCTACATAGTAACGTCGATCTTAATCATTTCCTTCATCAGACAATTTGGAATTGAGAATATCCCAAGTTAAAAACCTCACGCAAACAGAAAAAATCGTATACCGAGGCCTTCAAGCCGTTAAACGTAATAGCTCCCGTCTCACTTGGTCACTCGCCATATCCAATTCCATAAATATGGGTTCTCATTTCGACACGTTAATCGCCATATCGTGCTTTAATGAAAACGATAATGTGCTTTCCAGCGAAAACCCGCATCATGGTGAAAAACGACCTTTTAATGTTAGAACAAAGTCACGAGCCAGCTTAGGATGGGGAAAATCGTCTGATCACTTGAGTCATTTGGAACAAGGTGTTCAAAGGTTCGGAAATGATTCTCAAACGTGGATAATATCAACATGGTTCCAAAATCGACTAATAACCTCTTTGGATAACATGGGTGGAGTGATTCGATTTCTCATCACCGCGGGAAATTCCACGACATTGGCATTGGTCCATTCGGAAGGTGTCACCACAACCAACATCGATCATAACTATGAATCAAAGGATCTTTCTTTTAACACAAAACATTCGATATCGCCCACCCAAGACTTTTTGTTTCCTCCAATCATAACCGATCAAATCGATTCCGATGAGATCAACCTAAGATTGTACTTATTCAATCGAAGCATTGAAAAGAATTATTTCATGGTCGAAGATTATAATTCTGGGGTGTTGGAGATGTACAGCTTGATAGACGGTGATTTGCACAAGATCTTTCATATGGATGAGGAAAAGGGGATCACGGAACTTTTGGTCACCGGGAATTCGATATTTGAAGTGTCAAAGAATGACGTCTTGTTAGCTTACTGCCACGGCGCCAATAGTGTAACCATTTATCTGATGGAGAATACCTTGAAGATTACCACCAAGATTTTTGAGAATGTGTATCGAATCAACTCCATAGACTTCATAAATGACGATGAGAAATTGTTGTTAGTAGGCGAGGAGGAGAGAACTCTGGAGGATTCAACTACCGAGTTGATCACGGTGATTCTGATTTGGGACTTGTTTAACTTGTTGAATGATAGTGTAAAAAGAGTAGAAGATACACAATTTGTCATTCCGGCGAAACCGCACGAACACTATCACAGATTTGCCAGCGCAAGCGGAAAGATTGTTTACGTTAACGAAGATGATGGAAACGTATATTCGATATTTGATCATCCTGATCTTACAAACGTGGTTAATCCTCCACCGGTTTCCGTTTCAGGTCTCATGAAGTTAGACATGCAGGCCGCTCATCACGATAGCTCAAGTATGTATCATTGCCTGTACAATTTGAGCGGGCAATTCGAAGATGCAAAGAAAGAACCCAAGACCAACTTAATCGTAAGCAACCCTGAACCGTGGGTACGTCACAAAAAGTATCCACGTGTATCTGCGTTTCTGAATAGCGAGAAAACTCAACAGGTGATCGTCGGAAGTACGACGGTCCAAGTATGGAGGCGTAAGAAAAATCCCAAAACTCATGAAATACTTCAATATATTTGGTCTAGTCCGGAGGGAAAAACATTTCAAATCAAAGATTTTTCTATTGGCAACGGGGAATTCTTCTTGGAGGTCTCGGTTGGGGTTGAGGGTGACCATCAACAAATTCATTGGCCACATAATTGTCGCGTGTTGGTTGACGCGTGCAAAGCTTTGGGATACCTTTACGACCGACGTAGCGATCAATTATCACCAAAGAAACAGTATTTTTTTGATAAACTGAATCAACAAATAAATGTTATCCTCAAAAGAACCATCAGAAAAAACCCGGACGCCTGGAGGTTGTTTGACGTGCGTTACGAAATCATGGAAAACTTGATACGAGGAAATTGTGTCTCATTGATCAAGACCTTATTGTTCGAGGAAGAGCGTGATAAAATTAAGACACGAACCAGCAAACAATTTCATTTTTCGAGGTTGCACGCGTGGCCTGTTGAGCCTGCTAAACCTGCTGAACGAAAAAAGAGTGATTTACAGGTGGCGATCGAGTGCACGGGTGGCAATCCAAAAAATTCCATGATTGTAGGTTATCTTTTGGGTTACTATGCGGACAATGCGATGCAGAATGCAGGATGGATGAATAGTGTCTCCCAGACCCTTCCTCTCCTTTACGATTATAATTTAGGTATTTTGCATTCAATCGATCTTTGCACCTTTAGATGAAATACCAATAGAATTAATAGAATTCAATTTAACTCGACCAAAATATTTACAGGCTTCTTTGTCAAAGAATTATTCTGTAGACCGATCTTTGGTAAAAAGGAGATGCACATCAATGAATCATTCATCAGTAAAAAAGATTTCTTAGAAGCACGTTTCAAGGCTTTCCACGCATTGGAAGTTAAACCAAGACTTCTTAAAAGAGTTATTATCACTCGTGTCGAAAAGATGAAATCATTGACCTCCCTCTCATTTTTCAAGAAAGAGATTAAGGAGATCGAGGATGATGCGAAAAAAATGGGGTAGTTGATGAATGTCAGTTCTGTCTATCATAAAATGATCCCAAATTACACTAATTAACAACATTCACAATCTTCGGTTCGGCAGCATATTTGATATAACTAAGCACGAGTCTAACGTCTTAACAACTGTGAGAATAGTTCCACTTCCAGGTAAAAAAAAAACCACTTCACTTCGATATCATGAATTCAAAAATTCAAACAAAAATTTTCTACAAAGACTTCACCGTTTACCCGCCCGGAGTCATCAAAGACCACAAAAAAAAACCATTACTCCTACGCATCCTCAAGATTATGTTCTGGCCTCGTAACTATGTAATCACCGATGACGAGGATTGCAGTCCATTTCTCCGCGTGATACAACGCGACAACTCATCGATGATGTTTGACAACCCTGCGATGGCCGCTGTCATTGACTATAAATGGCCACCTGCTCGAAATCATTTCATCCGTCACTCCGTGATCTTCATCATTTTTGCCTTGACTTTCTTCATTGTCACTGGCGCATTGCACGAAGGTTCGGATGTTAGACCCGATGTTAATAGTAGGGTTAATATTGCTTTTCAGGTTTTGTTATTCTACCTTGGATATTATTTGTTGATCACGGAGTTCATTCAGCTCAAGCATCAAGGTTTATTAAGGTATCTGACAATTTATAATTTCTTCGACTTATCGTCGGTGATTTTACCGATGGTGGTTGTGATCGCTGCAGACATCATGTTTATGGGAGGAGGGACTTTGTCGTCACTTTTGCTGATGGAATATTCTATCGCCACGGCGTTTACGACGTTGATCATCTGGGGTGAAATGGTAAGTACTTGTTAAACTATTTATGTTTTTTGGCTTGGAACTGATCCGGAAATTCTTGACTATCCAGTTCTTGTTACTGAGGTTCTTTAAAAGTACGTAAGGATAATTTCGAATTTCTTCTGAAATTTGTACTGACTCAGTTCTTGTTTTTAAATGAAAGGTCCGGCAAAATTCATCTACATCATGACAAACATACTGAAGAAAGTGTGGCCATTCCTCGCATTCATGCTAATTGTCGTATTTGGAATAGGTAAGCAAGCAATGCAGTGGTTGTTTCTTGACTTTAGGTAAAAATCGAGCTCATCACAAATAAAATCCTTCACGGGTGATTGAAAGGCCATGCGATGTACCTCCTCCTGCGCAACCCTACTCAAATCAACCTCGCACCAAACGGTTCATCATACCTGATCACCAATTCCTCAGATACCACCGATAATCTTTACCCAAACATCACCGTATCACAAACATTTGATGTCAGCAGCGTGAATGACAACTACTTTTCATCATTCTGGAAATCCATTGAAAGCGTGTATTTTTGGTTGAGCGGAAGATGGGATCAATT